ACTGTTCACAACGTTGCTGATTAGTTTCCTTCTCAAATATTGTGATGACTGAAACACGAGGCGGCCTGGTGCAGTACATTCAGTTGAGGAACATCACAGAGGAGAGATTCACCTGGAATTCAGTTGGGTCTGCCGTAAAAACATAATTGCTATGCACATGAGTGTATCAAACTGTTTAACCCCTTTTTCCTCTAGAAGTAAAGTTCCGCTCCCTTAGTATTTGAACCTGTTACTGGTCAGTCGACTTAAGCTAAACATTCGCGAGACAACCGCCGGTGTGGTACTTGGTAGTAACTGTACCCAATTATATTATACCACTGTAGCCCATTCTCGAATGCGAATGGAAACGCTTGGTCAAGAAAATATTAGGAACTTACCTTCTGGTTAATCTTCAGAAAGTTAACGTACGATAACTCTTTGGATGTGAGAAACAGCAAAGCACTACCTTGGACACCACAACGTGCAGTCCGACCACACCGATGGACGAAGGCGCTATGGGGAGGATGGAAGATAGGTGATTGCATCATCAGAAAAAGGAAGACAACGGTCGGAATTTTCAGGGGCGAAGTTGGGCGTTCAGTGTCCATCAAGATCAAAATGAATGGGGTCTACCTCCGACTGCACCGTGGTGCTACAAATGTCAATCTTTCAGTGAAGAATTACGTGTCTATTCGGAGAGGCGTACTAAAGTAAGATGACGAATACTTGCTTAGAAAGTGATGGCCTTGATCGATTGTTCAAAAAGCGTCCGAATCAGACTGGAAAGATGCGTATCAACTTGTTACTGAAAACGGCGCCTTTCAAAAAGGCTGCAAGGGGTCAAAAAAGATACAGTAACCCCCAAAGATGGAACAAAGTCACTTATTGCTAGTGACGATTACGGGTAGAACCTCTCGCTACAAAGAGACACCAACACACGGAGAGGTTAAAAGCTCTTTTTCCTGGCGATGCTCCTTGTTCGAGGACAACTGCCATGATGGCTATAAGGACATTTCCACACAGCTTCACTAGGAAAACGTAACTTGAGCGGACCCATCGATGTCAAAAACTTCGGGCATTCTGATAATTCTACGAAGAAATTGGATCTTAGCGAGCCGTGACGGTTTGTGCATATCCGCGACCCATTGAGTTATACTGGGAGTCGGGTCCCTTGCGACGCTAGCATACTAGGTTGGTCAATGGTTAGATATCTGACCAACACAGTCGCCTGACCCTCCAGATTGGAGGTTAAGACACGGGTGACGACTTGTAATGCACTTGCACTTCCAGCCAAACGCATTGCGGTCAGGTTTTTGGGACCCTAATCTTCCACCTGGCTAGGTGTGGGCGCTCCAGCGGCATTCCATCCCACGTACGACTATGGTACCTACAACTAACAACACTGTCAGCAAGGAATCAGAATTGGACATGATTGTTGTGATGTTGATGATGACTCTTTTCGCATGAAGAACCTGAAGCTGTGCGCTTGCCTACATGTAAGTTACTCAAAGGATCATCTGATACAGTAGTTCATTAACATCGGATCCCATCTGGGTTGGACAGAACAACACCTGTTTCTTTAAAATCCGAAGTTCGTGTTTTTCCCTTGCTTTAAAAGAATTTGTATGTACTAGCGTAACGGTGATACTACTGATGGGAAAGCAGGCGAGTAGTATGTGTTGTTCTTGGAATTTCGCTTTGCGTCTCTTGAAAAGCCGAGATCTGTTGCGGAATTTGTGGAGTCGCTTTGTAGCATTTGCTTGGATTTGAGCAATGAATGATTGGAGTCAATGAATATCCAGGAAAGTTCAAGAA